AAAGCTGTGTGAGCTCCTGGTGAGGGCAGGGAGGAGCTGCAGTCCCAGTGTGACCCTTCTGTCCTGGTGTCACAGCTCCTTTTTGTTCCAAAGGAATCCCAGCAGGATCCACAGGGACATCCAGAACATCACAGAACAACTAAACAGGAAAACAACACCAAAAAGTTCATTTGCTGAAGGAGGGCAGGACTCCACATAGGGTTTTTTTGGGAAACTCACCCATATCCCCATCAATTTATAGGAGATTAATATAAAATAACAACAAAAAAAGCTGGGCACCCCTTGGGTATCTGCACCACCTGTCACTTCAGGGTTAACAAATTCCTGTCACTGCCCTGCACATCACCACAAAGAGATTTCAGAATTATTTTTAACAGCTCACAGCACGACCCAGAAATTTAAGCCTTGGAAAAACAAAATTTTCCCTTTATTTATATTGCACCTGTTTCACAAAGAGCCACATGGCAGAAACTCCTTCTGCTGCAAAATGCTGCATCAGAAAAAAAATGGGTTTGAACAGATTAGAAAGGAAAACTGAGCTTTGGAAATCATCATGAGTTGACCCCAAAATACCAACACTATTTTTACAAATCACTGTGCACTTACAAAGCCTAAGTCTTGCCCCCATTTTTTATTTAGCATTCAGTTATTTAAGAACCACGAGCATTTTACCAGATTATTAAAATACCAAAATTGAACCTGCAGGGGGAATATTTTTAAAGAGCACCAAATACTCCTTGGAACTGCCACCAGAACACCCACATGGAGTGGGGAGAATTTGGTTTTCTTATTTCCACAACTACCCAGGGCTGCCTGGGGAAGAAGTTTTTCCATGTTGTGATGAATTTCTGTGTAAAAAACGCATAGTAAAAATCAAAATATCTCAAGAAGTCCAGTTCTAACCCTGGTTTCAGCATTTGTGAGTGGGAACATCCACCCAGCTCCTCAGCAGTGCCCACTATGACACTCCCAGAGCTTCCTGCAAGGAATGAACCCAAAGCCTTTGATTTAATAACAGGGTCATTGTACACATTGTGCAGACTTTGCCCTCTTTATTCCAGCTTTTCTGTCCTTCCCCCAGCCCTGTGTACAGAGCCAAACACACCCCTCATTTACAAACCAGCTTCAAACAAACATCCCACTTGGCCAAACAAAAAACCTTGCACAGCTCCAAGATTCAAATATTTATTTCAGCAATGCCAGCGAGTTCCTTTCCCTCGATGTGGGCAATATTGCTTAAGGACTGGGATTTGGGATCCAGCAAATCCCCCCTGTGGAACCTGGCAGGTTCAATGTCCCCCTGCACCACACCCTGTTGCCCACAGACCTGGAGCAGATTCATTCCTGAGCCCTAAAAAAGATCCTTTATCCTCCTGGGAAATCCTCAATTTGGGCCAGACTGGAATTTGGGACAGTTCTGAACAGGAAACTTTCAGCTGCTGGCAAGACTACAGAAAAAACTGAGCTTAAATCTTCTCTGGGAAGTGTGCAGGGCAAGCTCACTGTGAAAACACTGGCCAGAAAAGGTTTGGTTATGTTCTTTAAAAGGAAAAAAATCTGAATATATTTAATAAAACATCTGGTCTGGTTTGTATTTATTCCCTGTGGCAGCTGAGGTTGTAGGAACCTGGCACAGCAGAGGATGGGGAGATGAACTCAGAGGATCCCTGCACATCCCCACTGCCACTTTTTCTGGTGTTTTCTCCCCTAAAAAGAAGATTAAAGAAGAATCATCTCCTTTTTCTAAAAGGGAAACTGAGGCACAAAGACACAATTCAGGGTTTGCAGGATTCACCAGGTCCCAGCCTTTGAGAGCAGCTGGAAAATTTCAGCCCCTCCTGAAACCTCAGCCTCAAATCAGTCTCTGCAGGGTCAGCACCAAATCCAAATCCAGAGTTCTCCAAATCCAAATCCAGAGTTCACCAAATCCAAATCCAGAGTTCACCAAATCCAAATCCAGGGTCCACCAATCCAATCAGCACCAAATCCTTGTTACTTGTAAATAAAAACATTGAAATGTTGGCAAATGAGCCCTAGAAATCCACATTTGGCATTTTCCCCATATTCAAAAGAAGTAATTGTACACTCATTAATACTGGAACAGGCAGAAGAAATTTCACCTGAAGGAAAGATTTCCTCATGACTTTGTTCAGGTTTATTTAGATTTTCTGCCAAAATCCCAAATTCTCAGCTGGCATTAACACTGAACTCCAGTCAAGGCAAGAAGTTCTGCTCACACCCAGCAGCAGCAGCAGCATTTTTATCCCATTTTTACGTTTCAGAAGGAACATTTCCTCTTTTGGACTCTGGTGGAATAATAAAAACCTCACTCCTCTCACATGCTGTTCGTGTAACTACCACCCCAGCAGCCAAAAGAATAAGATCAGCTTGATTTTGCACTTAAAAATAAATCCTTTATTATCCAGAAAGGAGCCAAATCATCATCTCACATCATGGAAATGGTCATTTGAGAGCAATAAATAAGAGGAGTGTTCTGGGACACACCCTGGGTTTTGTCCCTGGTACCTCTCTGGTTAAAAGCATAAAAGTTATGCTACCAAAGTCTCACTGTACAACAGTCTGGCAAGGAAAGAAGGCCCCTAAAATCTTTTACTAAAGCAAGGACAGAAAATTCTGATTCAGTGAAACCCAAGTTCCAAGTTGGGTCTCACTTCATTCCAAGGAATTTCATTCAAAGGAAGGAAAGCCAAGGTTCATCCCTTCCATGCACAAATCTGTACCTGACACACACAATCACCTTGTCTAGAATTGATTCTGAATCAGTTTTCAGCCATAAATTATCTATTTACTGCTGATTCAAACAGTTTTTCAGTTTTTCTTTCATTTCCTATTCGAGCCAGGGGAGTTGCAGGAACAGCACAGGGTACAAAATTTAATTTCTTTCAGCAGGAAATGGAAGTCAGCCTAAACCCACACAGCTACTCCAACAGCAGTGATTACGAAATTTAAAAAACCCAAATTAGGGGCTAAAAAGATTTAAGAAACAATGAATAATGATGATTGTTCAAATCAATGCATTGAAAATATATAACTCATATAAGAGAGCATAAAAGTGAGAACAAAACATCTTTCACCTTTCAATTTCTAAAGCAACAAAACAGTTTTGAAAGAACAGGTGTGAAGCAAGTAAAAAAATAAAATCAAGTTATTCCAAACACTTTTTATTGAAGGAGTTTCCTGCATGGCCAGGGGATAGCAATGTCTGGACTACACGATTCAGAAAACAACGATGATTTTAGGTTGGGCTTGGCTGTTCTCTGCCACCAGCAGTGATTTGGAGAAATGTGTTTTTCCTGAAGCAGTTCTGGGAGAAATCAATCAATCCTTCCACTGCCTGCTCCTGCAGAAACACCTCTGCTTTCCCAGCCAGGGCTGGAGGCAGAGGCACAGGAATTGTGAAAATCCACAAGGAGCTGCTCAGATGCTGGAGATGAACTCGCCCTTACCTGCCTGCAGCTGATCCTCCCCGGGCAAATCCTGATCAGCACAAACAACCCCTTGTTTTCTTCATTACAAGAATCATTGAACCGTTATTAGAGAACAAGTTAAAGGTGACATTACCAGCATGGAAAGGAGATACTGGCCAGAATTCAGCTGCCAAGAGAACAAGGAGCTGGCAGAGTCTGAAGGGAGCAGAGGCAGATGTTGCACTGAGCAGTGTCACTGCCACCTCAGCAGCACCTGCTCGGTGGGGCTGGTTCCAGTGTCAGCTCTGCTTTAAAGCTGTTCCAGGTCTGGCTGTCCCAGGTTTAAAGCTGTTTCAGCTCTGCTTTAAAGCTGTTCCAGGTCTGCTTTAAAGCTGTTCCAGCTCTGCTTTAAAGCTGTTCCAGGTCTGGCTGTCCCAGGTTTAAAGCTGTTCCAGGTCTGCTTTAAAGCTGTTCCAGGTCTGGCTGTCCCAGGTTTAAAGCTCAGCCCAGCAGCTCCTGCACCGCTCCCCTGCCCTGCCCTGCAAAGCTGCACACCCCAATGGCTCCGTGACATTCATGGATGTACTGGAAGTGTTCTGATAATGCTGGGGACACTTTGATGTCACAGTCTGTACCTGTGTGCCAGGAGGTGCTAAATGTCAAACCTGTTGAGGTTGTAGGCTGTGGGGTAGCTCTGCCTGCTGAACTGGAAGTGCTCTGTGAGGGCGTTGCTGCGCAGGAAGTCCCCGTGCTGGCCGAAGGCTGCGAGTCCATTCTGGGATTTCTCAGCAGCGTTTCGGTGCCTCTCCAAGCTCACCAGGTCTCCAGTGGTCACTGGGAGAAGCTGCTGCTTCTTTGCCTCTTGGTTTGCATCGTATTTTGTCTGGGGAAGGAAGGAGAGTTTGTCACAGAATCATTTAGGCTGGGCAGGGCTCTGTGTACAAATCACAGATGGGATTTGCTGGGGAC